CAGAAAAACGGTCCAGCCGTTTTTTAGAAGTTTTAGAATAAGATTAGTGGTTTGCCTTAACTTTTTATATTGTTTTTTCAGATCTCTCCACGTATTTTATTTTGAGAATGTTGTTATAAAATAAAATTGCACAGTGGTGTTTTAGTTCCAAGGTTCATTCATGAAATCCTTAGTATCTATCTTCCCATGTACGTTTAAAATCTACAAATGAATTAAAAGCAAATTGAAAGGATACTCTATAAGTCTTCTATTAGTCATCTAGATATGTACTCGTAGTACGAGTATATTTTAATGAATGAATATCGTACAACTTCGCTTTGAAAAACAACAAACACCTACGTGCATCCTTGGTTTTGTTTATGTGGCTATAGAATCTATCATTCTTTTTATACAATCGGAGAGTCTTGCACTTTAAGCATTAGAACGAATTTCTCCAAACCACAACTACAATTAACTTCTTCACGATTTGCAATAGAACTCGTGGAAATAAACCGCGAACGCGGATCTTGAGGTCAAAAAACAGGTCGCGTCGAGACCGCCTTTGGATTTACAATTAAAATCGAATGTTCGTGACTCGCCGCTACAGGCAAGTTCAGTTAGATGCTAGCTTGGCCTTCCCACCATGCTACTCGTACTTTAGCAATGGTGAATCAGAATAGGTAAGCTAAATTTTAAGTAAGTAACTTAGGTTAATAAGACCCAAGTAGTACGACCCTCTTTCATTTACCAGAGGCAAATGGAGGATTTGATCTGCACTTTTCATGCTAGCCAGACGGTTTGAGGAGGCCTGATGTGATACTTATTTATATTTGAGTACCTACTTGTTCTTGATGATCATTTTATAAAAGAACCTAAAAGAACCTGAAAGAAGGTCATTAGCAACACAAAAACAGATTTTGTATAAAAATACCTTAATTAACAATAGAAATCTGAATTCAATGTCAATTCTAATCAATTTTACTGTAGATATTTATTGATTGTCTTCTATTTGACTGACAAAATGAGGAAACTTAGGTACTAGCTACTGTCTTACATAATAAAACTTGGAAAAAAGTGTTGCCTTGAAGTCTAGTAACAAACTTTGACTCAATAAAGTTCTGAATTCGATATTCAGGAAAAGTATCACAGGCTAGTGATACAAGGACGTTGATATCAAACTTAATAGACTACCTACTGACATACTAGAGTTCATCTTTTATGAATTCATTACTAAGTTACCAGCGTCATTAGGTGACATTTTATAAATTATCCGTTAAATATCTGATATTCTGTTAAACTGTGTTTGAACCAAATAAATTATTTTTCTTTCTTCTCTCTTTCTTACTAGGTACGCCACGTATGATCTAGTGGTAGAGGTGGTAACTCAAAATATTCACATGAACTATGCTTAGCAAAGTCGTATCTTTCCATTTTTATAAAACCTACCCGCCGTTGACCCGTATATTTTTACGAGGCATCGATGTCATCTGACAAACAGCGAAACACTACCACGAAATTGTTTTGGGCCTTTACACTGCACGACTTTAGCAGGTCAACGGTTAAAGCATTAAATAACAAATTATAATATAGGTTTTAAGGACTCTACGACTCTAGTCGGCGAAAAATGTCGGTGTAACCTGCATTAGAATAAAATAAAATTAAAGAAAATTCGTGAACTGAACGAAAAATGTGACACAAATCTGTAATCCCAACAACATTACGGGTCAAGATCCAATGCTTTTTAATTCTCACTTCACTCCAAATTCGTGACTTATTAGCACATTTTTCAAACTTGCAACATTCGTTTTTGAGAGTTTATTATTGACTTTTCACTTTGTAAAACGTAAATTGAAGGATGTCCCATTTATTATACGAGTAGTTACCAATATCTACGCCCTAACTAAACTAACTACAGTCTACAGCGTAGTCAGAATATTATGGCTTGGCCGGTTCATTACTACAAGAACTTTTGTATTGTATTTCAGAAAAGTGAGTGAGTTGGAGAAACGGTTGTGTCAAATTATTTTGGCTAAGTTGTAGAGTTGGTTTACTAGTGTAGCGTGTAGAATTAGAAGTTTGGTTCTACATCAGTATCATTAGATAGGTTCCCTTAATTGATAATGTATAACCTTTGTTTGTCACCTGTCATCCACTTTGCAATGGAGGAAGTCGAACCTTAACTTCGAACTTCTCCTAGTTATGTTCTTCTGATTAATTTCGTTGCGGGTCCAATGACAGTTAACTTTTTCCGGGACAAACTTGACCTTCACTGGTTGAGCTTTTTTGGCAGTCTGTAGATCCTGGCTACACAGGAGTTGCAGCGGTGGGAATAAGAGGTGGGGATAGTCCCGTATACAGTAATATTTCCACGATAACAATCGTCTCGTAACATCGGAATGGAGGCCACGTACCGGAAAACGCAGCGTGGGACGTCCACCCACAAGGTGGACCGATGACCTGATAAAGGTAGCGGGAAGGCGCTGGATGCAGGCCGCTACCAACCGTGCGATGTGGAAGTCATTGGGGGAGGCCTATGTTCAGCAGTGGACGTCCTGTGGCTGAAATGATGATGATGATGATGAACAATCGTCTCGTGTAAAAGCCAGGGAGGCATTACAGCTCACCCTTCCGGCGGCCTATTGATTTGCCATCGCCGCTTATGTCGAGTCGAGACGCGACTCGCTGCCAACGGGTGAATAGCACATCTGTTTGAATTACGAGTTGGAGCAGCTCTTGATAAAAATCAGTATGATAATACATAATAGATTACAACAACAGTGTTAACTTTGAGCGTTAAGTTTAGAGAGATTTTTTCAATGCCTACGAAAGTTATCTCTAGGCCTCTAGACATTATCAGTAATAATGACGTCCTTCCTTTGGTAATGACATTCTAAAACTCCCTACATATAAATAACCTTGTCGCTCTATAACCGTCATTTTTTTATTCTGCTTCTGTGTTTTGTCTCTTACCATAAGGTTTTTTTATTTCACAAAATTACCCATTTTGTTGTAAAATAACACCTATTACAACTTACATAAACTATAGTTCTGTGCTTAAAACTTAAAATGTCGTCGTCTCTAAAAGCTCTGCTTTGTAATAAACAATGTATTTATTAATGTTGTTTACATGCGCTCTACCTAGACATTGCACATGCCTTGCAGTGCACCCCTTGATTAATAAATAAACATACATTGTTTATGGTGCTCACTACATTTTCAATAGGGTCGTTACTGCGCCGCTTTTCGTATTTGTGGTTGACTCTACATTTAATAGTGTTTTCCTTTCATATCATCTCTGCTAGTAGTCAACCAGCCAAGTCCTTTCTTTTCAACCTTAAGCTTACAATCCTTCACATAATATGCGTTCTTTGTCAATGTTCTGATAAGAAAGAAATAACAATCTAAAAAGCACGATTTATTTTAAATTTACTTATTCTCCGATAGTCTTTAGTCTTGGAACTCACAGTTACAGCATTTTAAAATGCTTATCTTGCCTCAAGTATTGTATTTCTAACACTTATAATTATTTGTGCCATCCCTAACAGACCCGTTACTTGCGCGAGTGCACTGTACTGTATCCAGACAAAATATTGATAAATTCCTTGACGTGCTGCATATTTATTCATCATCATCATCATTTCAGCCACAGGACGTCCACTGCTGAACATAGGCCTCCCCCAATGCTTTCCATGTTGATCGATTGGTAGCGGCCTGCGTCCAGCGCTTCCCTGCTACCTTTACGATGTCGTCGGTCCACCTCATATTTATTATGTTGGTAAAATGTGTACAATACAATCCCAATTGTACTTTTTTAAGAAGCTTTAACACACATTATTAGAACTTAAGAATGAACTAGAAATAAATAGAGTATTAGAGTATTTAATAAAAAATAACTTTTAAATTAAGATAAAACAACTTTACGTCCATTCTTGATTCCTGAAAAGTTCTCGTTGCGTTTCAATAAAAATTGTCATCCTAACAAACATATTAATTACTTAATTAGGTACTAAAAACTATCACAAAACACGACGAACAATACAATCCACAGACAACAGTATCTACCAACTACGACAGTAAAAGCTCTACCGATCACGATATCACGAATCTAATTGTTACTCTGCTCTTTTATTACCTTATCAGTTTGATATCACAGAATAGATAGGTTCCTAAAATGTTTCGAAACCAGTAAAAATGGATCAATACCAGTACAGTAAAGCTAGGAACTCATGATTTGGTTTTTCGAACCTGAATGCGAAGCGATGTAATACCGATTCATAAGTTCATGGCCTTATATTCGCTCTTAAAAATGTACGAGTATTCGTACCGTTTGTCAAATAATGCCCGGTTCCCATTTCAAAAAACATTATGACCATTGAAACTTGATGTTAGAAAATTTTACTCCGTTAGTGAATCGCTTTTTTTTTAATTATAGGAAAGAGGCATTAGGGACAAGAATGCTTAGCGTGCAAGAGTTTTGTGGGAGATACGTGTTAAATTAACGTATAATTTGTTTAATATTATATACTTTAACTTCACACTTAATAAACCAGTTTGGGTACAAAAGCAAGGGTTGTCAACTTTGTGGTTTTCGGTTCTGGTATCCGTGGTAACTGGTAAACTGGTATCACACCGATCGTGCACGGTCGTCAAAGGACCTTTTTAGTGTTAAAGCGTGGTGCATAGTGTTAGTCACAGTCAAATTGTAGAACGCAAGTAAAATCATCAAATTAGGTATCTCTGATGGCTCTGGGTGATGGTTGCATTGTAAATCATTGGTAACCAACAGTTATTATTTAAAAAATAAATGCCCTCTAGATTTTCAGGCATTTTTGTAATTTTAAGTAAGTTGTGACGTTTTTTCAGCTGTTTTTTTTTCGGATAAATAATCACATCACTTATTAGTGGTACCAAAAAATTACGTTATTATGCAAACCACCATCTCGTGCTGTCAAAAAGATACCAATTCTTGCGTTACAATTTCAGGGATCGGTGGGGTGGTACATCGCAAACTTTAATTTTACCTGTTTTGATAATGTAGGTGTTGTTATCGCAAATGCGGGATTGTAATACGTCTCGTTAATTTTATAGAAGTCGCTCTGCAAAAAAAGAAATTTGCCCTCAATTTGTAATTTAGGATTCGCCGTCATATCGCCATTTACACATAAAAAACCTCTATTTTTATTTTTGTATTTTAAATTGTCTAATTGGTCTTTTTTGTAAATATGGTTATGGTTATAAGTGTTAACATTATTAGAGCCTATCATTAAAATTCCAATCCTGGAGGAGTAATAAGGACATGCACAATTAGTAATTTCTTTAAAACCTACAAGTAATTTCGAACTTCATGTTCCGTAGACTGTAAATAACGATACTGTTTACAAACATAAGTAATTAACCGTTGACCCAGTTGAAGTTGACGTATGGTTGATGGAGGGTCTCGGTATACCCATAAATAAAATTCGTAAACACAGACTAATCAACTTTTTGTGTAAGAGGAGGGTTGGCTTGAATGACGGTGAGCCTACATTGGATGGTGTAAACAAAAAACTGGCACAGTTCAATGTAACTTTCTGACAAATAGTATAGTTTAACATTATCTTCTAAAGGTCTAGTAAATACTAAGAAAGAATTTTTTTTTAATGTAAAACACATTTTGAGGAAAGCTCGATTTTGATAACGAAATAATCTAAAATACAATAATCGGTATAAAGCTTCCCATAATTAATTAAGTAGATACCTATTATGGCTAATGTTAAATAGATAACGAATTCTATAAACGAGTAGGTATGATTAGTAAGCTTTCTGCTATAATGTTATAAATATGTACCTACTATAATAATAATTATCGTGTCACTTTATCCTGCTAAGCTACCCATAAAATTATAATTTATTAATTAATTGGTAGCGGGCTCTTATAATTACATCTTGAAACTATAAAACATTATTGGTATTTACAAGCACTATAAAATAAAAATGTCTTGTTCTGTTAAGTCGTTTTGATATAAAGTTTAAGCTTACATTTTAAAGGGTTTTTGAGTTCTAATTTATTACGAATGAAATGAGAAATCTACATTTTGTAAAAAAGTAGACCATATAATCTACGATACTTAAAAAACCCCCTTCTGACTGAAACAGGAACAAGAAATTAAAGTAAAAAAGTACTTAAAACATCCAATCTAACTCACCTCTTGGTAGAACACCCTTTTTGAGTTGTAGGTCAGGTTGTACTGCTGATCAGCGACCATCAGCAGGATCGTGAATGGTAGCAGGAAGGCTGCTGCAGCCAGGAAGGCCACGCAGCGTCCTAACCGCAGCATACTCAGGTTTCTTCTCCCCATTTTAGCGGAAAATTTTCTTTGCACTGTTTTTCACTTTGGTTCTCATCAGAGTTTGAATTTAGAATCGGAACGTGGTACGCCTGCCAGTGTTGAGTGTTGACACTATAATAAATGTTTTAAATTAGAATACCAGATTTTAATACCATTCGACGTCACCATTAGTGCAGTAAATTATTAATGTCAATCATTATCCAAAAGAGACGAATGACGTTGTTAATTGAACGCGGAAGTCTTAATTACAATACTATTAAATGAGGTAATTAGAACATGTTTTGCGAATCACACTTAGATTAAAAGTGAGAAGTAAACAAAATAGTTCAACTCTAAATACCTGTTGATATCATAACACGTGGCCTCTCGATAAAAATTGGTACCTATCTCATTAAAACCGAATCTTAATTATTTCCCGCATTATCGTAATTTTTATCACATTCTAGCAACATCAACGCGTACCCATTTACGCATTTTGATGTTTTATAATTAGATGATCAAACGAACTTACCAAGTGAAGTTCGATCTGAATTATCCTGTTTTCGCCGAAGAGATTTATTTTACCGTGTAGTACCCCTGTACGACAAGCCAATCCGCACACAATATTCAGCGCAGTAGTAGTAAAAAACAAAAGAGCGGGCAACCCCACCTCTACCACGCTGTGGGCTCGGTGTCCGAGCGGTCTCATTATATTTAGAGAAGAGATGAAATTGACGTTTACCTCCAGGGAAGAAGATATACAGGGTGTTTGGCGCATCGTGTGCCAAAATGATTTGGCGGATAGAATGGGTCATTTCCTATATTTTCAGCCCCCATAACACGTTCCATGTCAGGCGGCTACTTTTATATTAAGTTTTTTAGTAATTTCACCAAAATACCCAAATCGCATCATTTAATTTCGATTTAAAAAAAAACTACTAAGCGTAGCCTCAAAGTAAATATTTTGTTTTGACGTGCATTGATATAGGGTTGCATCAAATCTAAATTTCCTGGCAAATATCATCTAGTTTTTTTTTAATTCAGCTTTGAACTTTTCCGAAAAGTTAAAAATGGACTGAACATTTAAGTTTACATGGCTATAAAAAAGAATGGCTACTGGGTAACATCTCGCATTACCTCGGAGCAAAAAATGGCTACTGGTTAACATCGCGCGTTAACTTGGAGCTAAAAATGGGTCAAAGTTACGCGTCGTGTCACAACGCTTATAATAAAAATGTACGAGCACTTACACAAAATAGTTGTTACAACCAACCTTGTGTTGGGTCTAATTCTCGTCACTACACTGCACAACTTAAAATAATTACGTTTTTTGTCGGTAAAAACGTCCTGGTGACGTCACTTAAGCATTTTTCTTATACTGCGTGCGGTCGTTGCGCGTGCGCACAAAGGAATGAGACCGCTCGGACACCGAGCCCACAGCGTGGTAGAGGTGGGGTTGCCCGCTCTTTTGTTTTTTACTACTACTGCGCTGAATATTGTGTGCGGATTGGCTTGTCGTACAGGGGTACTACACGGTAAAATAAATCTCGGAGGCGAAAGCAGGATAATCAAATACTTTTATGCTTATTACTGCAAGCTATTTAAATATGAAAGAGTGTAGATTTCTCCAATGGCAACTACAATAATTAGTCTGTTAGTTTAGAATGCTGTTGATTGCAGAGAAAAAGAATGTGATGTGTTTGCATCGTCAAAAACATAAAAAAGTAAAAATGATGGGCTCGAAATCCATAAAAAGTTTCTTAATTCAAATTTGTGGCCAGTACCTACCACGAGGCCATCAAAGTTCATGAGTGGACTGGTTCGGAACGGATGACGATTGTAATTTAAAAATAACCGTAAAATGGCGGAAACGGATGTGAATCGCGACAATTCGAAACGGTCATTGTCAACTCATTAGCGACAGGAATTATTCAATTTAGCTTTGGCTCATTTTAGCTGAATAGTGATGGAATTGCGTGACGGTAAACTAAGTGTAATTGTAACAATATGAAACGGCATTGTAGTGAGCTCTTTTTTTAACCCAATTGTACTTAGGTTGTTGTGCTAGGAATGTTTTTTATGATTAAGTTGCTCAAGATCTATGTGCATTTTTGTTTGCGTAAATTGAACTTGCTAAACTTCCAAGATTCATGAGAATATTTTGAATTTCATCAAATAAGTTCTTCATTAATACCTGTTATTTGCACTCTTAATATCTTTTAAATTAATATTCTCGCTAGATATATATAAGTATCTACGAGTATTTTTCTAAATTTCATTCCTTTGTCTATTGCATGCTAGTTACGATGCAGTGGGCTGGTTTTATGCCGAAGTAACATTTAACTGTACTAATGAATGTCCCATACTTTCCCGATGCATTGGAAAAGCGACCTTTGTTGCCACCACCTTACTACCTCGTGATAAGGTCCAAGCTTTCGTCAAACATTACTTTAAACCAGTAGAATCCGGTTCCAGCACAAGAAAGCACCGAATTTGGTATTCAAGTCCCATCAGACGATTCAAAGAAAGCAAGTCTCCACGCGAACATTCTTTCGTCATTAAAATTCTACCAAAAAACTTGTAATTCCGTTCCCGAAGCAATGCGATAAAAACTTCGCAAGCCGGTTCCATAGAGTTTAATTTTTGATATTAGGTAGGTTTTGTGTGTAAATTGGTTCCCGGTACGGCCGTGCGGCGTGCTCGGCAAATTGGGTAGGATTGCGCATGTATAGTAAACATTAGGGATGCGCGGAATTTTCGGCTTTATTTCTGTTTTGGTCGAATAACCTATACCTAGGTACTAATTATGGTAGCAGATATTGGTATTGCTTTTTTTAAGATTGATGTCATGCTGCAAACGCTATGGATACTTCTGCATTTTCTGCAATTGTGATTTAAAGGTATTTAAAAACATACTTGTAAACGTAATTGACAAAAATATAAAGTCTCATTTATTTTTGCAAGTAGGCTTTTAAAAAGCGTTTTTAAACATCCTACTATTACTTTGCCTACCACTGCTTTGGAAGAATGAATGAGCTGGTGCTGAGAAGAAGCAACGCAAGAAACTAGTCAGTATTGTCAGTCTAATATCTTACTACCTACCTATTTTTGTTTTGAAGTCACTCTGTAGCAAAACAAACCCACAAAATTCCATATTTCCTACAGAACCCACCCATAATACTTCACCGCATTCGGCGCATAGCAATATAACTGTGCGATATGACGCGCCGCGGACGTGCCCTTACAAATGAAGTTTACTGTTATAATGGCCGGTGGACGGTGAATTTGTACGCTGCGGTTGTGTAAGGCATAAAGCAAGTAACACTGTGTGGAACAAGGAAACAAGAATGCAGCAGAGTGGTAGCGTTTTCGGCGTTGACCCACGCGAATTTCGGCCAGTCACTGAAAGTATTTTCATGCACGCGCCTTTAAATAAAAGCACTTTTATTAAAAACTTTTTTAGTGTTATTTACTCGCATCTCGAACTAAAATGAAAAAAGAAACAAAAATTATCTTACATAAAACGCATCATTAAAGATTGGACTATTTAATTGACTATTAATTTTTAACCGACTTAAAAAAGGAGGTTCTCAATTCGGTTAGTATGTTTTTTTAGGATTGTACATAACATGTGTAATATGGAATAATCTAATTTTGGATTTGACATTTGATCTATACTTTCCTATTGTGTCTAAATGCCACCAAAATAAAAATAAAAACTTGAAAAATTCAACCGCCCCAGGTGGAAAGTGGGAACCCACTACCATTAGCATGTTCTCCCTCATGCAGAGGTCATTTTTAAAACATTACCTATTTCCATCCATTTCAAACAGTTCATAAAATGCAATGCAGTATGATTTAGTTTAATTTTGAACTAAGAACGTTGCTATGTGAGTTCAATTGTTTTTCTCTCACGCGATAACAAAACAAAAGAATATCAAGGCGTAATCTAGTTTCACACTCCCATGTTGTTTGTTACGTGATCTCGTAAGAAGTTTGTCAGTCGAATTACAGGAGTATAAGAAAGAATACTTGCGAATGTCCTCGATTTGATTATGAAGGAAGGAACGACCATTATTTTAGTTTCGGTGTTGCGTAACCGAGATTATTTTGTTTTCAACTCTGGATCAAAAACCTAAGTCCTTGCAATCTAGGATAGATTGCTTTAATATGTACAGTTAAATTAATCACTTACATGCTCCAATCTTAGGAACTACTGACTAGTTCGGTTAAAAAAATATTTCTGTGTTGGATATAATTGATTAGTCGTTATACCAACAAATAACGTTATACAAAAAAATAGGAGACCAATAGAAACATCAATGAAAAACTCGAAAAACCATTTTCAGGTGCATGAAGTTGCGTGAATAAATAAGCAAATGAAGCTTGTAAGTTGATAAAATAGTTCTCTAGCATGTTCTTTCAACTGTTACAATCGATCAACCGTACTACAGTTATGCTTTATGACAGGTAAATGGTAAGGAAGGATACAATGAAAGCCCTATTATTGACTTACATCAAATATTCAGTAATTGAAGCAACCATACCAGTCAATTAGCAATTATGGAAATTATGCACATTGCCTACAAAGAAAAGAAGAATACAGGCCAGCTGGAGCGATTCCCGATAAAGTTTCAGTAAAGTATGTAAGTAGTGATGAAACGAATACTACTTTTACGAATACGAATATTAACTATTCGGCGAATACGAATATGAATATCTCTACATAGTCATGAAATACTCATAAATTTAACTCTTTTTATTATGATTAATGTTTTAGTATTAAAATTTACAAATGGCATTTTTTTTGTTTTTGTATCACTTAACTTTGTAACTAATCACAAAACAAAATAATACTTGTACAATCGACATTGACTGTCAAATTCCGGAAGAGAACTTACTTACTACTTTGTTACATACTGACCGGGGTTTTCCCGTCGTGTCGTTGTGGCTATTAGTGTTAGGAGACACTTAATGTGTGTGACAAAATTTAAAAAAAGTCCGATTATACGAATATTCGTATTCGTTGCTTCACTAGTATGTAATTACTAGTGTGTTATGGTTATGCCGTTATCTAAAAAATAAATGTGCTTGATTACCCACGGGTGACTTCATCTGCCAGATATCTATGA